CTCAAAGCTATCTTCCAAAACCCACTTTAAATATAAAGACACATATAGATTAAAAGTAAATGAATTAAGCTGCAGCCTGTTTTGCTTAGTGGATAGAGCATTAGCCTGTGGACTGAAGGGTCCAGGTTCGATTCCTGTCAAGGGCATGTACCTCAATTGCTGGCTTGACCTCCAGTCCCTATCAGAGCATGTGCAGGAGGCAACCAATCAATGTGTCTCTCCCTTTCCCTTCATTCTCTCTAAAATTCAATGGAAAAATATCCTTGGGTGAAGATTAACAAAAACAAAGTAAATGGATTAAGTAACATTAAAGAGATTATAAGAAAAATATATTCCAAATTTTGTTAGTTGTATAATGGTTATATTTAAATTATTAACACCTAAGAAATTGGGTGAAGGGTACATATAATATGCTGTAGTATTTTATAGGTTTTTTTTACATGTATGAGATTATTTCAAATTAAAATATTAAAAAATTAAAAATTAATAAAATGTTAATTGAAATGTATCTACATTACATGAAAAATCTCCTAATTGCTTCTAGCATAATTTATTAAATTGTGCTGAAATTCACAAGGGTTCAGTTAAAAAATATCTTAATTCTAAATGATATAATAAAAATATATAATAGTCTAGTTATAAGCAGTTATCTGAAAATAAAAATTTAAAGAAGTGAATTTAAAGAAGGGATTATCCAAAGAAAATATATGCACAACACATGGACACAGACAACAGTATGGTGATGGCCAGAGAGAAGTGGGGGGCAAGAGCTGGGTAGAAGGGGGCAAAAGGGGGGAAATAGGGACATCCTATATAATAATAATAAAAGGCTAATATGCAAATCGAACGGCAGAATGACCGGTTGCTATGATGCACACTGGCCACCAGGGGCAGATGCTCAATGCAGGAGCTGCCCCCTGGTGGTCAGTGCACTTCCTTATGGGGGGTGCCACTCAGCCAAAACCTGGCTCATGGCTGGCCAGTGCAGAGGTGGTGGCAGGAGCCTCTCCCACCTCCATGGCAGCACTAAGAATGTCCAACTAACGGTTTAGACCCGATCCCTTGGGGGCCTAAGCCTTTAGTCGGACATCCCCCGAGGGCTCCCTGGCTGCCAGAAGGATGTCTGACTGCAAGCTTAGTCCTGATCCCCCGGGGAGTGGGCCTAAGTCGACAGGCGGACATCCCCCAAGGGGTTCTGGACTGCAAATGGGCGCAGGCCGGGCTGAGGGACCCCCCCCCCCGCCCAGTGCACAAATTTTTGTGCACAAGGCCTCTAGTCCTATCTAATAATAGACAAACATGGTAATTAACCATACCTCCGCTACGCTTCCCATTGGCTAATAAGTAGGATATGCAAATTAACTGCCAACAAAGATGGCGGCCGGCAGCCACGCAGCTGAAGTGAACATGAGGCTTGCTTGCTCCAGTGATGGAGGAAGCCAAGGTTCCCCGCCTGCGGAGGCCCAGCTCTGAGCTCCAGATGCAACAATGTTGCAATTATAGAAGCTAAACAAACCCCAGGTACCCGCTTTCAGCCAGCTGGGGCCTCAGACCTTAGAGTGCCAGTGATGGCAACAGAGTTTCAATTATAGAAGCTAAACAAACCTAGATACCTGCTTTCAGCTGGCAATGGCCTCAGAGCTGGAGCCAGCTCTCAGCTCCAGTGACAGCTATAAAAGGTAAATAAATCCCAGAATTTAAAAAAAAAAGAGGCTGGGAGCTTCAGTCGTCCGCCAGCCTAAAAACGGCCCTCAGCCCCTCACCCAGGCTGGCCAGGCACCCCAGTGAGGACCCCCACCCTGAAGGGGGTGTGACCAGCTGCAAACAGCCATCAGCCCCTCATCCAGGCTGGCCAGACACCCCAGTGGGGACCCCCACCCTGAAGGGGGTGTGACCAGCTGCAAACAGCCATAAGCCCCTCACCCAGGCTGGCCAGGCACCCAAGCGAGACCCCCACCCTGATCCAGGACACCCTTCAGGGCATACCAGCCAGCCCCACCCATGCACCAGGCCTCTATCCTATATAGTAAAAGGGTAATATGCAAACCCTAACAGCAGAAAGACTGGGAATGACTGGTCACTATGACACACACTGACCACCAGGGGGCAGACGCTCAATGCAGGAGCTGCCCTCTGGTGGTCAGTGCGCTCTCACACGGGGGAGCTCTGCTCAGCCACAAGCCAGGCTGATGGCTGCCAGTAGAGCAGTGGTGGTGGAAGCTTCTCCTGCCTCCTCAGCAGCACTAAGGATGTCTGACTGCCGCTTAGGTGTGCTCCCCGCTGGCAAGTGGACATCCCCCGAGGGCTGCCAGGCTGCCAGAGGGATGTCTGATTGCCATCTTAGGCCCAGCCCCCCGGGAGCAGGCCTAAGCCAGCAAGTGGTCACCCCCGAGGGGTCCCAGACTGTGAGAGGGCACAGGCTGGGCTGAGGGACCCCCCCCCTATCCCCGAGTGCACAAATTTTTGTGCACCAGACCTCTAGTCTATATAATAAAGAGGTAATATGCAAATTGACCATCACGCCCTTGCACAAGATGGCCGCCCCCATGTGGTCATGTTACCTTATTTAACCTTTCCAACAAACCTTTAAAAGGAACATGCCTCTATTTTATGATGGGAAAAACTGAGGCTTAGTGAGATCTATTTGTTCACTGTCACAGCAGAGCTGGGGTGAAACTCATCTGGTGTAGAGCTGTGGAGTATCACCTTATAGTATGCCTTCACCCAGCTCTACCTTCCCCCAGATTCCATAAATATCAAACCATTTCTGAATTAAGTCCCATGAGGCACTAGGACTTATTAAATTAAAGCAAAATGGAGAACTTTGTGGATTATTATTTATTTTAGTAATCTAAAGATCTCTATAACAGGCTTTATAAACTCATAAGAGGTATTCATTTAAGGATGCAGTACTTTTTTATTTGGAGAATTTTGTCTAGCTGGAAATCAAGTCGATGCTATTTCTCCAAATATAGTTTTTTTAAAAATTAAAGTTAATGGGGTGACATTGGTTAATAACATTATAAGTTTCAGGTGTACAATTCTATAATACATCATCTATATATTGCATGTGTGCTCACCACCCAAAGTCTATGTGAATTTGTTTGTTTTTTTCTTCATTTGTTGCTTTCTGTCTTATATCCCATATATGAATGAAATCATATGGTTCTTTTCCTTTTCCATCTGACGTATTTAACATGATACTTTTAAAATTAATCCATGTTGTTGCAAATGGCAGGATTTCACCCTTTTTATGACTGTGTAATATTCCATTGTATATGTGTACCATATCTTTTTTATCCAGTCACTCATTGAAGGACTCTTAGGTTGTTTCCATGTCTTGGCTACCATGAATAATGCTGCAATGAATGTTTTCAAAATTTTGGGGTAGATATCCAGAAGAGAGATTGCTGGGTCATATGGTAACTCTAGTCTTAAATTTTTGAGGGATTGCTCATACTGTTTTCTGCCAGAAGCCGATCCATCCTTGCTGCTTGACACAGTCGCTGCAGGAAAGAAACATCTGCACAGCATATGTTTCAAGGGACCTGGCGTATATAGCATACTGTTCTTAATATGTTTGCTCCCCTTAGTGCTGTGTGTTTTAACCAAGGTCACCTCTCCGAGTAAGGTTGTTTCCCCAGGTAGGAATTTTTCCCTGAAGTCAGGGAGGGGATGCCTCTCCTAGAAAGGTTGTTTCCCCAGGTAGGAATTTTTCCCTGAAGTCAGGGAGGGGATGCCTCTCCTAGAAAGGTTGTTTCCCCAGGTAGGAATTTTTCCCTGAAGTCAGGGAGGGGATGAAACTCCTTAACTAAGTGCCAGGTGGGTAGTTAATCACTACAAACAATCATGCTTAAGCTACATAATCTTTACTCCCTGGAATGGAGATAAGAAACGCCCTAACCTTTGGAATAGAGATTGATAGGATTGGAGTCAACTGGTATAAATACAGATGTAACAAGACAAGAGAAGACAGAACCTACACACAGAACTTGGAAGACAGAACCCACACAGAACCTACAGACAGAAGAACTTTGCTGGAGAGAACATGGCAAAAGATCCTGGACTGAACCTGACTACAGAAATTGACAAAAGAACCTGACTAGAACCTGGTGACTGAACCTGGCTGGAGAACCTGGACAGAACCTGGCTGGAGAACCTAGCAAGGGAACATGGCTACAGAACCTGGCTGGAGAACCTGGAGAACCTAGCAAGAGAACATGGACACAGAACCTAGCTGGAGATCCTAAGCAGAACCTCTCTGGAGATCCAGACCAGAACTTGGCTGGAGATCCTGGCTGGAGATCTTGGCTAGGCTGCTGATCAACTGAACGCTGTCTCCGTGTCCTTCCTTCTTCGCCGACTCCGTCCACACCTTTGGGGACCCCTGGACCTCCTGGGGTTGGACCCCGGCAGTTTTCCATAGTGGCTGTAATTCCCATCAGCAGTGTGTGAGGGTTCCTTTTTCTCCAGATCTTCTCCAACGCTTACTTTTTGTCTTATTGATAATAGTCATTTTAACAGGTATGAGGTGGTATCTTCTTGTGGTTTTGATTTGCATTTCATTATAGCTAGTGAAGTTGAGCATCTTTACATATATCTGTTGGACATTTGTTTGTCTTCTTGGGAATAGTGTCTGTTTAGGTCCTCTACTAATTTTTAATTAGATTGCTTTTTTATTGTTGAGTTGTCTGTGTTCTTTATATATTTTGGATATTAGCCCCTTATTAAGGTATTGTTTGTGAATATCTTCTCATATTTGGTTGGTTGCCTTCCAATATAGTTTGATAAATAATCATTTACTTTCCAATCCATTGACTTTTTTCATTTATTTTGTTTTACATGGGATGGAGTTTACAGCTTCTGGAGAGAGACTAAATATTATTCATGGAGAAAGCTGTTTTGCAAAAAAAAGTAACACCCCTTGCCCCCACTTTTTATTGGATGATTAAGAAAAAAAAAATCCAAGGTCAACTTTACATATGTCACCCAGTGGGTAAAAATGTCACAGACTGACAGCAGAAGGATTTGTGTCCATGGAAATTCAGCTTGAATCAGAAAAGCCCATTCTGTGATGCTGCAGGGCACCTCCATTCTGAGAAGTAGATGCCTGCTGGTGGGTAATCAATTAGAAAATCTATCTGCCCTTGAGGACTGCTTCTAGTGAGCATCAAGACTGGCTGCCTTTTCATCACCTCTTCTATAGCCACTTACCTCAATCTCCAAAAGAGAAAATTCTGACATCTTAATTTTAATGTGAGCATTTGATCCAGTGCTTGAGATAAATATAACCCTGAGCAGTATAGAGAAGGTTTAATGGGAAATGGTTGGCATTCTTTCTTGGTAAAGGCACAGGGAAAAGAGAGAGGCTGAGGGAGAGAGGGAGAAAGGGAGAGAGAGGGAGAGAGAGGGAGAGAGAGAGAGAGGTAAACAGCAGTGGGGAAGACAGAAACAGATCAGCAAGGCTCCACGGCAGCCTGGAGGCAAGGCTGCTGAGAACTTGACACTTTCCAGACCCCAGCCAGCATGGTTGTCCTGAATCCAACGACTTTGGGAATTTATCTTCAGCTTTTCTTCCGCTTTGTCGTGTCTCAGCCTACTTTCGTCAACAGTGTCCTCCCAATTTCAGCAGGTAAATGATGACCACGTTCCTCTCTTCCACCTATTTGCGGCAGGGGGAGGAAGGAAGATTGATTTACAACGTGTCCTGATATTTTTCTTAGTCTACTCTTGCTGGAGGGAGGCTGGCGGGAGACCACCCTAGAAGCTCTCTATCACTCCAGCTGGTCTTGGAAGCCCCTTCTGTCCTTGTTCCAAAAGTTGTTTCTGCCTTCCCTCACTTCTTACCCCCTATTGCCACACAATTTCATTTTGGTAGGGGATTGTGGGGAGCTTAAAAGTGATGGAAAGAAGTGCAAGTGAAAGAGAAGTGAGTCCCAGAAAGAGTTGTTTCTATAAATACATCCCTGACCCCTTCTGAAGGGGGCTTGACTCAAAGGGGATGATGTGGAACGAACATGTCACTGTCCCAGCTTGGACAGTGTCGCCGGTTGCCGGGACCATCCCACAGAAGGCGAAAGGAGTCCTGTTGATTCTCTGGGGGGTAAGGGGCCTCCATGCAGCCTGAGGACTAGATCTTCCATTCCTCCAGCCCTGTCTGCTTTCCTGTTGTCCTTTCTCCCTGGGGTGGGCCTTCTCTTCAGCCTCAGGTGAGGCAGCTGGGAGAAGGGGGCTTTCTGGGGAAAGGCGGAGGGGCTCCAGAGGGAGAGCCAGGCCTGAAGCTGGGTGTCTGCTGGGTGCAGTGCTGGGAAGCGAAGGCAAGGGGGCTTTCCCTGCCAGCGTGGCAACCTTTTCTGTTGCCCTGTCCTGTCTGGCCCAGAGCAGCAGGAGTATTGGGTTACCGGCATAGCCTATTTCAACCACTCTGGGCAAACTCAAGTATTTTCAGAGGGCTTGAGGGAGGCAGACAGACCCCGAGCTTTGCTGCCTGTCTCTCAGAGCCTCCCTCAGTTTGCCTCCGTCACCCATGGCTCTCCCTGGAAATGGCAGTCACATGCTCCAACATGAATCTCATAAATACTCTGAGGCAGAAATTTTGTTCTCAGTCTTTGCTAGAAACTCAGAGAAGGCACAGCTCAGAATTCAGTCCCTAACCGCTGTCCATTCATAAAAACAGTTCATCAACATGATGTGCTGCCAGCGTCTGTGGGCCCTGAGGGAAGGGCTCAGAAGGGCGTGGAGCTAATTATAGAAGTGTGAGGAACTGAAGGAGGGGTAGGGATTTATGGAGAATATGGGGGCGGGGAAGGAAAGGTGGGTGGTTGTGCCAACATGCTCCCCCCAAATTCAAGTTGACAGCACCACGTTTCTTCTGGGAGAGTCATTATTCCACTACTCAAGGGGAATGCTGGATAGATGGTTCTTAACCTTGTTTGGGCCATAGATTCCTTTGAGAATCTGCTGAAGGCTCAGGACTTAAGGAAACTCAGTCCTCTGGTTTTAGCTTTGCCCTGGTGGGCTGTCTGACTTCTGGGAGATAGTTAGCCTTTGGCGGTAAGCACTATGAGGGCAGGGACTGTGTCTGCCTTATACATCATTTCCCCAGGGTCAGAATAGTGCCTGGAGCATAGTAGGTGCTCAATAAATATTTGGTGACTGGATGAGTGAATGAAGGAATAAAACTTCTTATCTATAGATTGAGGTATGCCATCATTTTGTAACACTTAATTTAGATAGTACCAAAATGGCTAACGAGTTCTAAAGTTAGAAAAGAACCTCTGATTTTCTTTGAACTCCTTGTCCTAGAGAGAGCCCTGACATCTCTCAAGTGAGACTTTGTACAGATTGTACCAGTCAGGGTAACACCAGGAAAAAGAAGCAAGTCTGATGGTTCTGATGAAAATACTTGAAGGGACCAGTTTCAGAGGTTGTAGGTGGGGTTAAGGGAATCAACAAGGAATGTTGAGAAATTAGCAATTGTGGGAGTTTTTACCACCATTGTGCTTGAAAAGGCAAGAGGAAGAAATGGGAAATAGATTCCAGGAAGATTTGGGATCTTGGAGGAGGGGTCACTGAGCAAGAGTTTTGATCACAGAAGAGCCTAAGGTGGGGGAGAAAGTGGAGAAGAAATACCTTTCCTCCAATACAACCACCTGTTGGCCAAACACAACCTGAAGCCCAGGCAGAGGAGCTCCTGGATGCAGTCATGGGGGGTCAGCTTCTGGGGTGCAGAGTGAAGGGAGATGGTGGGAACGTAGAATAGTTAGTCCACATATCCATAAGTACTTCCTCGTGAATTGCTAGGTCCACACCTTCTGGTTGGGAATGTGGTCTTCAGACATTTGGTGAAAGAATAAGATAGAGAGTTAGAGGAGATCACTAAAGTGACAGAGAAAAAAAAAATCTGCTTTCTCCTGTAGTCACTTGGCTTTGTCTCCTTCATTTAGTTGCCAGGACTTCCTTATAGCACAGTTTAGAAATAAACTTATGCCCTGAAATGGGAACTATTCCTTGACACAGGAGAACTTTAATTCTTTGACAATATTTTCCAACAATTTGCTGTGAAATATTCTGTATTCAAGCTTGTAGATTCTTACTCTTCCTGTGCTCATAGAAACAAGGGCCACCAGGAAGATCTTGTCATTTTACCCATTACACCTTAGTGCAGTGATGGCGAACCTTTTGAGCTCGGCGTGTCAGCATTTTGAAAAACCCTAACTTAACTCTGGTGCCGTGTCACATATAGAAATTTTTTGATATTTGCAACCATAGTAAAACAAAGATGTATATTTTTGACATTTATTTTATATATTTAAATGCCATTTAACAAAGAAAAATCAACCAAAAAAATGAGTTGGCATGTCACCTCTGACACGCGTGTCATAGGTTCGCCATAATTGCTTAGTGCGTGCTTCCTGGGTGCCTTGTGCTATAGGGGACACAGAGACAAGTGCAGTGCTGCCTCTGCTCTGGGGAACCCATGGTCATTGGCTGTCAAAACCCAGGCAGCCCGACCAGCACGCGCTAAATTCCCTGGAGAGGGACTGTGATGGAGGAAGAGCTCTTACGGGCATCTAGGCTGGTGCTCACCTCCCTCTCTCCAGGAAAGACTGTATTCCAGCAATGCCAGACACAGCACCCACTATCTGGATCAGATGCTCGTTACCCACTGCCAGGTCCCAGAGGAGAACCAGGAAGGGAGCAAAGCATCAGAGGCCAACATTGATGATAGAAATCTGAGCACTAAAGCACATGTATTTGCTTTGCAGAAAACACGCTCAGGCCTCTACTCCAAGCCTATTAACTCTACTTTGACACCATTCTAACAGGCTTAGATAGGTTTCTCGAAGGGTGGAGAATTCGCTGTAGCATATTAGATTTTGGGAGTGGGGCTGCTGCTTAAGATACAATGACAACAAAATGACAGCTTGTAAATTGGTTACAAGAAAAATGGTAAAGAACTGGGGAATGGTCTGAGATCAAAAAAGAATAGTAGACTGGAATTATTTCTAGAGCCCCTGTTTTATACAATACTCCCTGAAGGTCTCATGAACTTATAGCACATTTCCTGGCTTTCACTATGATGAGCATGAATGACCCAGTGAAGACTGAATTGTATTCACTTTATTTTGCTTAAGAAGCAGATAGGTGAACTGTTTCCAGTATGGCCAGTGGTGAACCTGAGGAGGGGCGGTGAAGGATTAAAGAAAACAGACAAGAGAATATAGTTGGGGTCAGGTGGATCACTGTGCCTGGATGAGGACACAGTGACCCAGCCTATAAGCTGAATCTTTATTTTATACTCAAATCACACAAAGCAAAACAAGGGAGTGGTCAAGATATTTATAATGTTCTTACGAGTTTCAAATCTGCTTCTTTCCTGTTATTGCAATTCTCTGAACTCTATCAAGCTTTGTTTTGGCAGCACTTGCTGCACCTCCTGCAGCCCATATCCCTCAGCTACCTAGGGCTACAAGGTCAGACTATAAGGTCAAGCTTACATACAACCATAGCCTTTGGCTATAATTGTGCTGGGAGGGCTTTGCCCTCCAAGTTGGGACTTGTATGTGGCTTTGCCACAAGAGGACTGTGCCCTCTCATCAGTCCGAGGCTTGATCCTGTCCAAACACTGTAGCTGCTCTCCACAGATAAGTGTCAGATATATTTTAAAATAATTTCAATTGAACATGGCCCTAAAATTTTTAATGTCAGGAACCTTAATGTTGGTATTTTGTTTTAACCATTGCTGGGTAATACACCACCCTCACACTCAGTGGCTTAAACAGCAGTCACTTATTGAAGCTCACATGTTTGTGGGTCAACTAAGAGCCAGCTGATCTAGCTTGGGTTTGGCTGGCCCTGGCTGGGCTTACTATGGGTCTGTGGATTGACTCAGCTCCAGTAGCCATTCACAGATGTAGCTCAGTCAGTAGTTGTACAATTTCTAGAATGTGGTGGCACAGACTCAAGGATAATAATATTTATAGACATGCAGACCTTCCACACACTTCAATTTATGTAATTCTCACAGCACCCCTGGGATGAGTGTGACATCACTTCTACATTTTAGATGAAGCGATGATGGTTCAGAGAGGTTAAGTGACTTTCCCAAGATCACACAGCTAGTATGTGGGAAAATTGGAGGCTGGAATCCTGCCCTCTGACTCTCAGTTGGGGTCTTTTACTAATGTAGACCAAATCTGCTTATGGCCATGGATAAATAATAATATTAGATGGTAAAGTGCTATAGGTTACTTCTATTTTTTGAAAATTCAGCTCTAAATTCTTCTTAAAATCTTCATTCCTTCAATTTTTAATACTTTTCAACTACAGTTGATGTATATTATATTAATATAACATAGTGATTAGACATTTATATAACTTATAGAGTGATCACCCTGGTAAGTCTAGGACCTATCTGATACCATACATAGTTATTACTAGATTCTTTATTCTCCCCTACCTTCTCCTCAGGATATCAATGCCCAAAGCTTTTAGCAAATGATTGAATTTTACTTTATACTAAAGTGTACGTGACTTTCCAGGATACTGGTGTATCTTTCCTTTGAAGGCATTTGTATTTTAACAGGGGTTAAAGTACTAAAGTATGCCCTAGTAAGATGAGCTTCAAGA